GCAACAAAATATCTTGGGTAGCGACACCTTGAAAAATTTGTACTAAGTGGCCTTTGACGCTGCTGGCCAGGCTGCTGACCATCACTGAGTGAACAAAGCTAGGGCTTTGTGGTCAGAGCTCAGCTCAGATCCTTGCTTGCCATTCACTGGCTGCGTGGCTGAGAGCTAATTCAACCCTCTCTACCTTGCTTCCATCAGCCACAATCAGGGATGTTTCGTGAAGTTTAACTATACTGAGCTGGGTAGGACAGATATGGTGAGGGCTCCCGAATCGTTAGGCATTCCTGTCCCACCACTCACTTGCTTTTCAGATAACCTTGGAGCAATGAATCCTGGGACCCTACAGAGACGCCTAAGCACTAAGGCCACTAGTTCGGGTAGGACACATTCATGCGCAAAACTTGAATTTGGCAGCTCACAAAGCTCTCCTTTAGCGGGCCTAGGAATTTGTTCCCAGGGAAGCAGCCAGCTTCTCTCCCCTCAGGCCTGTGCACCCTCCTTTCCATAGGTGGGACAGAGGAGCCCCAGCCTAAGCAGGCAGGGAATCAAATGGGCAAGACAAGCAGGACACAGGACCTTTTACCACATGGTGCGCTGTATGTGTGATGGAGCGAAGGGGAGGAGAAGGCCTGCCGAAAGGTGAATCTTGCCCTGCCTATTCCTAGCACTTGTTCTTTGAAAGTGCTCTGAGTTCCTGTTTGGCCTCTCTTTTTCCTTTTTTCTGTGTATGCAGGCAAGTAGGAAAGAGCATGATCTGGAGCGAGACTTCTCAGAATGCACCCTGCCAGGTCTAAGGGCTTCGGTGCCTCAGTTTCCATGCCAGAACCCATGATCTGTGGCTCCAGGTTACCTGGTAAGCCCCATGCAGCCTTCCTGGTTGTGTGATCTTGGGTAAGTTCATGTTACCCAGGTTCAAGTTCCTCTGTGCTTCGGTTTTTACAACTGTGAAATGGGTAGTAATAAAATACCTGCCTCACAGTGAATACATGCTGATAATTTTTATTTGCCATTATCTGTGACATCATGCCACCTTACAGATTCTAATTTACGTGACTTTACAATGAGTTGGGTAGATTTCCCATTGAAGTGGATGGTTTTACAATGTCAACAGATTATTGATTTGGGCCAGCACCTGTTGTTGGGACAATGCATAAGCTGATCTTGGAAGCCTGAGTTCACCAAGAGCCTCTCTGTTGGTCTGTCAATTGAACCTTTGGCTGACTTTCTTGAGGGTCCAGCTATGAAACTCCTTTTACAGATTGAAAGATTTTTATTCTGCAAATATTATTTTCATTTTCCTTTCCAAAGGGGGTTTATGCTTTCTAATGGAACAATCTGGGTTTTCCTTAGGAGTCCATGTTTTTAGTGTAAGTGTTCTAAGGGGAGAAGTATATGGCTAGGTGAAAGCATAGGCCGAGTTCTGTGTGTGTGTGTGTGTGTGTGCGTTAGTGGAGGTTTTCAAATGCAAATATTTGATAAAAATATGTGGTTTTGTTTATTTATGTATATCTATATATTAGAAATGTTAACTTGAACTGAACCGTTTAACATGCTTAATCCGAGGCAGATGGAATGGCCAGGGAATTATTTTTGCAAACCACTTCTGTTGGCATTCAAGCTTCCTTTCGTATTGATTCCATTCTGGCCGACCACTCGACGTTTCACCAGAGTAAGCTGGTGCCAGACTCTACTTCAATGACATATGTGTTCGTTCCCCTGAAACACAACACAATTGCAAATTTCTCCAGCCCATGGAACCACTTTTGTAACTAATTAGACCAGACAGGGTGCTTCAGAGAAACCACGGACGCAGCATTGCATCCCGGTGGATAGTCATACAGGCAAGCCCTTTAACAAAGTGAACAATTGCCCAAATAATTATTTCCTGCTGTGGACTTCCCTCTTTTTCTTCTTTTTAATGCTTTGTTTGTTAAATCCTATTTTCCTTCCTACTTTCCTGTTGACTGCAGCTAAATTGAATTTGGTCCAACCCATCTCACACAGGGTCAGCAAAAAGAGCTCCACTCCATGGGGGAAAAGAGTTAACTCTTTGAGTGCTGCTTTTCCTATCAGCTCAGAACCCAACATCTGGTTATCTTTTATTCTCACAGTGGAGTTAAGAGGAGAGGAAGGAAGGGCTGTACTTATTTGGGTAGAATTGAGGAACAAGATAAAAATATGTTCTATTAGGAGCATGAGTATTTTGGGCAAAGAAAGTTCAGGTCCCTTTTCATGTTGCTACTCAGAATGCAGGATGATGGAAGGTCTGCCCCTTCTCTAAATATCAGAAGGGCAGAGGCACCTTTGACCAAAGGCCTCCACCAGAAATGTGGCATAAAGTTGAAAGCAAAGGGCAGGTTGTCAACAAAATTTAGGAAAACCGGGGTCATCGCCACTGGGTAACACAATTAATAAAGTGGTCTGCGCTATAAAGGGGTCAGAAGAAGGTGAATTTAATTCCCATCACATCTTAAAGCAGCTAGAGGTGGGAATACTCTTCTCATGTGTGGGTTTTCACTGTTGGAAGACTCAGAGGTGCTGTAAGGCTGGGACCGCAGGCTTGGGTCTGTTTCACAGTGCATGGTCCCTTGTTGTCAAGCCTAGGAAAGACGAACAGCTGGAAATAGTGTCCTGGCCAATATCAGCAAGTGTGATTTTTGTCGGGTGTGTTGCAGCTCCTGTCCTCTGTTGTGTGAAAACTGTCCCCTTCCGGTGAGAGGTTATGGGCTTGCCGTAAGCAGAGATGGTGTCAGAGGCTGTGTTTGGCTGTTAGTCCCAGCCGGCCCAGAAATGGAGCTTGTGTTTCTGCAGGTGGAATGTCTGGGTCACAGCAGTTTCCTTTGTGATGGATCATCTCAAATTTCCCTCCTTAGAATCTGTAGGGCATTTTCACTCCACCTGCAATGCATGAGACTACTTCCCCCCAGCCATCCCACATTGAACACAGGAACAAACGTCAACCTTTTTTCAGTATAGCCTATCTTCTGTATTGGTGGGGTGAACCAATACCATGTATAGGTAGGACTGCAATGGTTTCATTTATACTGAACATTTACATCCTTTTTTTTTTCTCTTATTGATCTCTAAACAATACAGTATGGCATCTGCATATGGCTTTTACATTGCATTAGGTATTAGGAGCAATCCAAAGATGACTTAGAGTATAAGGAAGCATCTACCTATGTTATGTGCAAATATCATGCTGGTTTATACAGGCATTTCAGTGTCGTGGATTTTGGGAATAGATTCCTTGTGAATACTAAGGAATGACCATATACTGGTGCATGTAAAAATGGTCTTACTAGTGAGGTGCGCATCTGTTCATATATTACAGAGACATGTTATTTTTTGAGCTACAGGGGGATATCATTTGCAAACTTGTCTATTGAATTTTTTTATCTCTATATAAAGGGTTTTAAAATATATCTCATCCATATGTAAAGATATTAGCCTTTGATTTTTATGTAAGTTGTAAATATTTTCATAATTTTTGCCCAAATTTCATTTATTAGAGATTTATTTTATTTATTTGAAGGGCAGAGTGACACACACACACACACACACACAGATTTTCCATTCCATTCATTTGTTCACTCCCCAAATGGCTTCAATGTCTAGACTGGAACCAGGACCCAAGAACTCCATCTAGGTATCCTGCATGGGTGGCAGGGACCCAAGCATTTGGATCATCTTCTGTTGTTTCTTGGTTGCATCAGTAGGGAGCTATACTGGGAGAAGAGCAACCAGAACTCCTTGAAATGGTGCTCCAATATGGGATGACAGTAACCTGCTGAACCACAAATCTGGCCCTGTGTTGTCCAGCTTCCAACTTTTAAAAGCATGTTTACTTATTTAATTTTATTTGAAAAGGAGAGAGAGAGAGAGATCTTCCCACCACTGGTTCACTCCTCCCAAATACTCTCAACAGCTGGGCCAGGCTGAAGTAAGGAGTCTGTAATGCCTCTGGGTCTTCCACATGGGTTGCCGAGGCCCAAGTATTTGAGACATCACCTGCTGCCTGCCAGGATGCATTAGGAAGAAGTTGGATAGAAATGGAGTACCTGGGACTTGCTCCAGATTTCTGATATGGGATGCAGGCATCCCAAGTCATGATTTACCTGCTATGCCACAGTGATTGCCCTTGTTCACCAACTTATGGCCCTGCTTATAATGGTTTTTTCATGAAAAATTTTTTTAAATGTAATAGAATGTTAATTCTTTTTTATAGCTTCTGGATGCTAAATCATAGAAAAGCTTTCTTCTACTTGAAAGTTAATTTCCTGTCTTTTCCTATAAAGATGTAAAATGCTAAAAGATTATAAGAGAAATAATAAAGTAATATTATTAGTATTAGTATTATTAGTAATAGAGTAAAGCCACCACCTGGGATGCTGGCATCCCATATGGGCACCCGTCCTGGTTGCTCCACTTATGATCCACCTCTCTGCTAATGATCCTGGGAAAGCAGCAGAGGATGGCCCAACTGCTTGGGCTCCTGCATCCATGCGGGAGACCTGTGGGAAGCTCCTGATTCCTGGCTTTGGATAAGCTCAGCTCTAACTATTGTAGCCATTTGAGGAGTGAACAAGTGGGTGGAAGATTCTCTCTCTCTCTTAAATAAATAAATAATAAAAGTACTTTAAAAATCTCATAGTGTAGAAAAACCACAGAACATAGAATGAAGTATCTGTGGCACAATGGATTAAGCCACCACTGAGACCTCTGCATCCTATAACTGAGTGCCACTTCAAGTCCCAGCTACTCTCTTTCTGAACCAGCTCCCTTCTAATGCACCAAGGAAGGCAGTGGAAAATGACCAAATACTTGGTCCACTGCCACCAATGTGGGAGACCTTCATGGTGCTCCTGGCTCCTGACTTTGTGCTAACTTGAGGTTGGGTTGGGGAGTGAACCAGAGAATAGATCTCTCTGTCACTATGTCTTTCAAATCAATAAATTGTAAAAAACAAAAGAAATTTCAATTGGCGCTTGCAATTTTATCAAAGCACATTACACTGGTAGCCAAAACCCCAGATTTCAAAATAATTAGTTATTTCTCTTATGAATATTCACATTAAAATCCTAAACTAAATTTTGGAAAATACCATTCAGCAGCATATTGAAGCAATAACACGTTATATTTAAGTAAATAGTCTGGGTATGTAGAGTTGGTTCAATTTGAAGAAATTGACAAATCCTATTAATCTGAAAATGGTAACTTCATACATGCTGAAAGTTCTTTAGTCATCACCTCATGTCCATTCTTGATAAACCACTCAGCACATTACCAATAGGCAGATGTTTCCTTGACCCTACCTCAAGGCCAAATTTAGGATAAACCAAACTTAATGCTAAAGCATTCTTACCAAAGTCAGAAATATTCTAGAGACACCAGTGGTTTTTTTATTGCCTTACTAGAAGCTGATAGAATTAGACAAGAGAAAAAAGTTGCAGCTACAAAAAATAGGAAAGAAGGATATATAACTATCACTATTTATAGGTATCACTCCTGTATACCTGTAAAATCTGAAAGCACCAGTAATACACCAGAGTACAAAGTTCATAAAGGGAAAAATAGCTTACAGAAGTGAAACAGCTATCAGAAAGTGAAGGAAAAACAAACAGGTTTAATAGCAATAGAAGAGAGAATATACCTAGGAACAAACTTCAGAAGCATAACAAAAACTCTGTGGATCAGACTTCAAAATCACCTCTAAAAGGAGCATTGTGTGCACGCATGCGTGTGCACACACGAATGCACTACTCAGTTTTGGCAACCATGAGGTTCTAACGCATGAACAAGCAGACAGAGCAGTGAAACAAAATGAAAAGCCTAAGATAAACCTGAGTATATGGGAATTTAATACACGCAGAATCAGTGCAAGAATGATGCCCTGCTTGATAAGGGGTTGTAAACGTTAGAATTTATTTGGACAACAAAGTTGTCAACTGGAATGGGAGTGGGAGAAGGAAATTTATTTAGAAAATAACATCTACATGAAAACAGCCAAAAAACAGAACTGCAGTTTTCATGTCTAGCAATTTTGAAATGTCTTTTACAAAAATGTCTTCCAATAGGTGATCAGCATCTCACGGCAGCTGTCAGAAAATGGCGTGTGACTGACTGTTGGCAGCCGTTCCTCCGCGGGCCGGTGATGAGGCCTTGTTCTGGGCAAGGGCGGCGACCCAGCCTGGGCGGGAGCCGCGTCGCAAGGCTCTCGTCCTTAATTTCTGAAATCCGGTCTATGGATTCAAGGATTTGGGCCACACGATGCACCATTTTGGCTACGGAAAACGAGTTGCTTTATGGATGTGTGAGCGTTGTTCATGACCTCGCAGAGGTTCTGCAAGGCCACGTCCGTGTTCTGCATCACCACCGTCAGGCTGGCGCCCTGGCCTGACCGGAGGGCTTCGTTCTTCCACTTGAAGTCGGTCGCCTGTGCCCGCAGCAAGTTTACTTCCTGTTTCAACTTCACGACGTTATTTTCTGCCTCGAGGTTCTGCTCCCCGGATTCCAGGAAGTCGCTTTCCTCCTTGACCATCTCGGCTTCTCGTTTCCGCTCGAGCGCCCTCACCGGCTTCATGACTTGCCCGCAGCGTCCGCAGATGCCTGTCTCCCCTGGACTCTCCATGAGCCTCAGAGGCCCTGCCGGGACTCCCCGCTGGTGATGTCGGGGAGACCCCGGCGTTAGGGTCACTCAGAGTCCGCGCGGGCAGAGACCCGGGCCCTGCCTGCTCCGACGGGGCGGAGAAGGAGGACAGGTACGTGCCGCCGGGCGACGGACGTGCTGGCCGAGACCCTGGAAGAGTGGGTCTGCGCCAGCCACCGTTGTCCTTGTCCTCCTCCGGCAGGTCGCCAGCCCCTGAGCAACGGCCGCACCCCAGCGCGCGTGGCTGAATCCCAGCCTGCACCGCGTGTGGCTCAATCCCAGCCTGCACCGCGAGGCTTCCTTCCGGTGCACCCTGCCGGCGCCCGCGTCTTCTGCTGACAGGCCGAGGTTCCTGGACTTCAGGAACTCTTTCAAGGAGGACGGGTTTGTGGTCTCCAAAGTGTTTCTGCAGCGCTGGCAGGGGTCTGCTTGCTACGCTTCCCCCTTCCACAGCCAAAATCTGTGTCTCCCACCGACGCCAGCACTGGGCTGGGCACACAGCACAGAAAGCTCTGCCAAATGCCCAGGTCCCTGCAGTCGAGGCGCTCGCACTCTAGCGTGAGGAATGACCAGGCTCCAGACTCGGGACAACGGGAGCGCGCCCCGAAGGGGGCCCGCGAGCCCAGGGGCTGGCCCGGCCTAGCACGGAGGAAGAAGGGGCCCCTGGCCCTGGCCCCAAGTGCGCCGTGGCCCCTGTCCACTGCCACCACTCTCGGAGCCTCTCACCACAGCGTCCTCCGGTAAGATTTTTTTTAAAGATTTATTTATTTACTTGAAAGTCGGTGTTACAGAGAGAAAGAGAGAGATAGTCTTCCATCCGATGGTTCACTCCCCAGATGGCCGCAACGGCCGAGCTGTGCCAATCCGAAGCCAGGAGCCAGGAGATTCTTCCCGGTCTCCCACGCGGGTGTAGGGGCCCAAGCAGTTGGGCTCAAAGACATCTTCTACTGCTCTCCCAGGCCATAGCAGAGAGCTGGATTGGAAGTGGAGCAGCTGGGTCTAGAACCAGTGCCCATATGGGATGCCGGCGTTTCAGGCCAGGGCGTTAACCCACTGCGCCCACAGCGCCGGCCCCAAGAGATTTTTTATTCAATATCATTTTTATATCTCATGCCATATACCAGGATACATTCCAAATGGATCAAAACTTAAATCCTAAAAAAAAATCACATAACTGATGCTTTTTTGTGTATTTTGTTTAATTATATTATAAACATAAGGTGATGCCAGCAAGCATATTTTTGCCATATTCTTTTATGGTTGCATCGTACTCTGATTAACAAAATATTATGATCTGTCTAAACTGCTACGGGTAGACATTCTAGCATATTTATAATTGTTTACGTTTATTAGCAAAGTTTGAGTGACCAGATGATGTGTGGTGATTATGTAACGGAACAGCAGAGCAACTCACAATTGGATCTTAGTTATCATGTGGGTTTCCTGCAGCTGCTATAACAGCGTGCCACCTACTTGGAATCCTAGGCCAAGGGAACTTTATTCTCCTGCAGCAGCTCTGGAGGCCGGAAGTCCAAAATCATCAGCACAGGGCTGAAACGGAGGCCACAGGCTCTCGGGGCCGCAGCCTCTTCCTTTCCCTTGCCAGCTTCTGGTGCTGTGCTTCCGCTTTTCCTCGGTTTGTAGTCACAGTTCCCCAGCCCCCCGTGCCGCGGCCACACTGCTGCCTTCTCTTCTGTGGTCAAACATCGCTCTGCTTCCCTCTGGTTAGATTGCATGCAGTTGCATTGCAAGATCCTCAACTGACTCATATTTCAGCATTTCTTTTTGTCATATAAAGTAACATCCACAGAAATGAGGGATTAGGATTCAGAACTCTTCAATTTTTGTTTCTTTGTTTTTAAGGATAAGGTATTATTCAGCCTACGATAGTTATACAGGTTTTTGGAAGTTTGTAGCTTGCCCCAACATTGAGGAAATGTTTAACATTACTAATTTCTTTGCAGATTCTAAGTTCTTTCCAAATTACTGGGTTCCTTGTTTCTTCATCCTTGTCGAAACCTATTTTTTAAAGAAATCTCCACACTGATTTCACCAGTGGCTACACTAATTTACATTCCCACTAACTGTGTGTAAGTGTTTCCACTTTCTCTACATCCTCTCCAGCATTTGTTACTCTCTGTGTTTTGGATTTTAGCCATTCTGACAGTGTGACATGATACCTCGTTGTGGTCTGATTTGCATTTTCCTGATGGCTAGCGATGTTGAGCATGTTTTCATATATTTGTTGGCTATTTGTGTTTCTTCTTTTGATAACTGTCTATTAAAGTCTTTTGCCAATTTTGCCAATTTTCTCAACTGGATTGACTGCTGTTGAGTGTTGTAAGTTCCTAAGATATTCAAGATACTAATCCTTTGTCAGATAGGTGCTTTGCAAATGTTTTTCTCATTCTGTTGAATATGGAGAAGGGGGAACACTTATACACTGTTGGTGGGAGTGTAAGTTAGTGCAGCCACTGTAGGCAACAATGTGGAGATTTTTAAAAACTAGAAATAGACTTTCTATATGATCCAGCAATCCCATTACTGGGTATATACTCAAAAGACTCATCAAAGAGATAGCTGCACCACTATGTTTATAGCAGCACTGTTCACAATAACCAAAATTGGGAACCATCCAAGGTGCCCATCATCAAATTAATTGATAAAGAAAATATGGCATATATACAAAACAATATATAATATTATTTAGAAAAATGGATGCAGCTGGAGGACATCATGTTGAGTGAAATAAGCCGGACCCTGAAAGACAAATACTGCATGCTGAAAGAAATGTGTGTATGTGGCCAGTGCCGCAGCTCAATAGGCTAATCCTCCGCCTGTGGCGCCGGCACCCCAGGTTCTAGTCCCGGTTGGGGCGCCAGATTCTGTCCTGGTTGCCCTGTTTCTAGGCCAGCTCTCTGCTGTGGCCCGGAAGGGCAGTGGAGGATGGCCCAAGTGCTTGGGCCTGCACCTGCATGGGAGACCAGGAGGAGCACCTGGCTCCTGCCTTTGGATCAGTGTGGTGCGCTGGCCACAGCGGCCATTGCGGGGTGAACCAACGGAAAAGGAAGACCTTTCTCTCTGTCTCTCTCTCTCTCACTGTCCACTCTGCCTGTCACACACACAAAAAAAAGTGTGTATGTATCAGTATTGCTGCAAATATAGTTTTATAAAACTTGATTTTCTAACTTTATCAAACCAATGGTTAATAATGTTATACTACTAGAGTTTTAATGATCTGTGATTACTTTAAAATTTATATGGGTGAAATGGTCATTTTTCCATTCAGTTACTGTTTATAACCATTGTCTATATTTCTACTTAACTGCGGTCTTTTTGCTTTTTACTTATAAGCCTGCTTACTATAATTTAATTTTAAAATATGTTATCTCAAAAAGTAAAACAAAAAAGGAGAAAGAGAGAGGGAGAGGAGAGGAAGGGAGGATCTACACATAACATTGGATCTGTTAAAAACTTATTAAAAATAAAATTAAAAATTGACAGAAAACTACAGTTTTATCACATTTAAAAAAAAGGAAAAAAAAGAAGACAGCCAATATCTTACACAGTTTATTTGGGCTTGGTGACATGTTACTTTGGGATTAGTGACTGTATTGACCTAGTGCAGGAAATTGACTAAGCTGATGGCTTCCTGTAAATTGTTTTTGGCAATTATTCCTTTTGGTCATGCTGTCACTTAGGTGAGAATGAGAACATACCCAAAACTTAGGGCATCAGTACCACTCTCAGTGAACATTATTTTGAGATTTTGGCTTCATCATTCTTGGTTTATGGTTATGTATTCCCTGGCATTTTCATCATTTCAGCCAGACAGAGTAGACCATGTAGTGTTTAGCACATGGCTACATGTAGACATTTAATTAAGACTTTTTGATAGGGTACAATTCACCAGGCTGATCAGTATTATGACTTTCAGGAAGATAATACCAAGAGTTTGGAGTATGCCCTTTAACCATGAAGCAAACCAAAGAATGAGCTAAATGGGGCATTTGGCCATCTCAACCAAGCAGCCTGTTCATTCTCTTTATCCCCATGCAACAAGTGTTAGCAACTACACAGTTAACAGGAAATCTAGCATCCCATGAGCAGGTTAAATTAAAGCAGGGACAACAAACAGTGGGTCTCCAAGTCTGACTCTACAGCAGCAGCTACTGGTGTACTTTAAACAACAGTAGTGTTAGGAATGTTGCTAGGGTTACCCTCTGGGTAGAACTGTAGATCCCTTAAGTCGTGAAAAGATCTGGATTTGGCATCACAGGTCTGGCATTTCAGTAAGTTACTACCAGAAGCCACTGATGGTGAAACTCTGACTACAGCGTTATCTGCTACGTGAAAGAGGTAGGGGATAGATAGCAAGGAGAATTGAAGACGGCTAAGAGTCTGTTCCAACGAGGAGTCTTGTTTTCAGTGGTTTGAGGAAGGCGGTCCACATCATGAAATCAGCTCCTCGTCCAGGTTTGTAGTTTGGATGTCTCTGGTTATAGTGCTGGGCATTTTGGTGAACGCTGCATGGCCCACATATCAGACGTGAGATTTTTCCCTTGAAATTTACACAAGTAGTCCTGTTTCAGTTTACAGGGCTTCAAGATCAGAGTTGTTTCACTGATTCCATGGAAGAAAATGGGTTTAAGGAACCTGGAAGATGGAGTACTCAATTCTTTAGAAAGTTAGGATCCCAATTTTATGCTAAATCTTAGGTCTCACAGAGCCTTGGTAAAAGATTATAACCCTTCAGGCTCCATGAGGGAGACAGGGGACCTCAAAAAGGCCCTAATAGGATTCCTCTTTGCTGTAAAAGAGACAAATTTCTTTTACAATTGGTCCATAGCAATGGAGCTGATACATGCTCCACTGAAATGGCTCGTCTGTTGTTTATCCAGAAGTTTCTAGTGAGCAGTTATCTGCAGTAAGAATAGCACCATCTCCCCTTCCCCCCAACCCTTATGCTTGGAATCTTGGCACTTTTAACAGAAAGGGAAATTTTAAATGTTTCACAAATTATGTGCCCCTCTCTCCCCCAGTTCCCCAACCCAAGCATTGGTTTTATGCTAAGTGCTTCTTGTGTACTTGTTTTTCACACTCTTGTTTGGACCTCAGCAAAGTGACAAAACCAGGGTGCTCCCAGCCTCCTGGGACTGAGGGCTTTGGTGAAAATCCTGCTGGTAACAGTGCAGGTGCTGGGATCTGCTGGCAGCTTCCTACTTGTATTCCGTATCCCATCTTGCCAGCAGGAAGGTTTGTTTAACAGATCAGTGAGCCAGTCCCCAGCAGGGGGGGTCGGCTTCTGAGGAAATTGAAGGCAAATCCATCCCCAGATTTAGTAGGGTGATCACCTTGACTTCTTCGCAAGGCTTCCAGCAACTGTGTAGAATGTCTTCTAGTTCTTTACTTCTATACTCAGTGTGATGTGTAAAACAAACAAACAAACAAACAAACATGAGACTTGGCAGTCAAACCAGCAGGGATTCACATCCTTGATCTTTCATTGAGAGAGAAAGATGATTTTGTTCAAATTACGTAATCTGGTTGAGCCTCAGTTTCCTAGTTAATGAAATGGGCCCAGTAAAATCATATCAGAGGTGACTGTGAGGGCTCAATAAGACGATGGGTGTTACACA